TCCCTGCAAACATGTAGACTGAGTTGCAGGACGATATAGAACAACAGACTTCAGCGATATATCTTCTCCTTTCACGCTTCGGTACAGATCCTATACTACCATCTGACGACGGTGTGGGTAGTCCAAACTCTTCTCAATGAGTAAAAGTTGGATTATGACGGTTACGACACTTCCGTGTTGTGTGTTTGATTAGGTTGCGTCTCGGTTTCTCGGTTTATCGGTCCGCAAAACTCTGCGTATGCATGGAGTTGAGTGTGTAATTTCTTTTTCGCTGTTGTGTCATTATGTCGCATCATTACATCGATCGAACTACTCCGCTTATGGCGTTCTATGGGGCATTATGGCACATTGGGCGAAAAAGGGTGCGTTATGATAACGATGGTGTATTCAATTTCTTTCCTGCTACTATCTGCATCGGTTACGAGGGGGAGGGGTAGGATAAGATGGCTATGCGTATGGATTATGGAGGAGTGGGAAAGTTTGGATGGTGTATGCTTGTAGTGTTAGGCAATGAATGAAAGCATATATCTTTTAAAAGTGGTTTTGCTCGGATGTTTGACGTGTTTACAGATGTGACCATCGCGAATGGGACTGGGATGGCATGCATGGCCTGTAGTTACTCTAACTTCGATGGCAAAGTTCATTTGGTACGGGTCAGATACCAGCTGTTCGATTGCACATACATGCAGCACCTCACATATATAGCTTGATGCCTCATCACTTTCAATTCCCGTTCATTGTTCCCTCCCTGCTGGCCGTGCAGGTAACATAAGCTACCTAGGTGCCCATATACACAAGTTCACCCCCCTCAGCCATTCCTTTCCCCTTCCATACCCTTCCATCATCGTCAGACCAATGCGCAATGCAATCCAGTCCGTTCCAGTCCAGTCCCCCTCTAGTTGATCTCCTTATGAGGGAACCACTTGCTCGGCTTAAGGTTCTTCTCCTCAAGCGGCGCATCCAACACGCCCAATCGCCTGATCTCGCCCGCAGACGGTGCGTCGTCGCGTTTTATGTTGGCTTCGGCTTTGCGGTACGCGGCTTGGAGGGCGAGGGTACGTGCGGCCTAGTGTTGCATTGTCAGCGTTGGAGTTCTGGACTGGGTTGTTGGAGGGACTGTGTGGGAGGTGTAATGAGAAGATGGGATTGATCGGGGGATGGCAAGGGGAGAGGGTGAGGTTTGGAGGTACGCACCTCCTTCTTGTGATGAAGGCACTCGTAGTAGTCCTCAAGGACAGGTGCGCATTTTGCCTTGCCAGAGTCGTCCTCGGCGTTGGTGTTGGTTGTGTAGCATGCGAGGACTTCTTGCCAGAAGGGGAAGCAGCGGGATGGGCCTGGGGTATTGTGTTAGTTAGGAACAGAGTGTGACCATGTAGATATGCTTCTTGCGGCGCGGTATGAAATATAAGGGTAGGTCGTGGAGCTTTGGAGGGTTGCAGCGCGAGCGGACATGTCCGCGGGGGCAGGTAGATGGAGCGATCGGAGAGCTGGCACTGGCGGGTTGAGGCGCGATAACCTTTTCGAGGTCTGGGAATAATTCCTGGAGGTCTCGGCTGTCTGCTCGAGTTGTTGACCAAGTAGTGCGTCATTCCCATGCGCTCTCGTATCCTCCAGGTTCCGAGTCGTCTTAAAGACCATGGATGGCCGCTGCGCTAACAGTGTTGCTCGATACACCATCTTTCTATTTCCTCCACCCCTCTCCGTATTTCGGTACGTTCGGTGTGGTTACTCGCATCGTGTAGCCGTCGTGGTCGCTCTTCGCATTCGATCCGGGTTCGCTCTTCGCAGTGCCATTGCGCTCGCTACGCTGCCTCCGCCAACCCTCAAAGCTTCCGAAATTGTGCACCAGTAATTGGTTTGTACGTACCACCAGCAAGTCCGTATCCTGAAGCCATTGTCGCGGTGTTTAAGTGGGGGTCTTGAGTCGCGATGTGCTGCCGCTGTGAACTCGGCCAGCTTGGGTTACGTCAGCAACGCACGGTCCTTCTGTCGCGCAATCCGATGGCGCTCGTGGGCCGCGCTGTTCATACCCAACATCTCTACACTGTCTTCGCAAGCCATGTCTGCGTCTTTTCTTTCTGCAGTTCAGACTCAGCGCACAGGCTGTGCAGAGACAAAGGCTCTTCCAGAACATGAATTCGTAATACTCTTGATTATCCATGGATTTATCCTACAACCCACATGCTATCAGCATGCCTTACTCCGTAAACTGGTGCACCTTGTAGAAGAAAAAAACTAAACAGGCCTGCAGCCTACATTAACGCTAAGTTGCCTATCTTGTAGGGTTTTAAGTTGATGTAGGCTGCAGGCCTGTTCAGTTTTTCTCTTGTATGGCGTGGGTGAACGAACCCCGCCACAGCCACATACCTTGGCTCCATACATCATGTCCAACTCTTCAGCTGAGCTCGCCAGGCTGCGACTTTGCATCAACATTCCTCAAACCCACGACAGACCAGTGCTCTTGTCACATACTGTTCCTAGCAGCGCAGTAACAAAGGGTATCTGGGATAATTCTCTCGGAAATTGAGTAGCCAGTTTCGCTCGGAAACGTCTTCGCCAATATAACATCAGCAGCTTGCGCAGACATGTCTAACAGCGAAAACATTTGCGTCGGTTGTAAGCATCCGATAGTGGACGAAACGATTGAAGGCGACGTGGCACTGCCACTCGGTTCCGTTGAGATCGATTTCAGTGATCTGGCGAAGGGAGTAGACTCTAAGTGTCGGAACTGCGCTGTCATTCTCGACGCTATCGTCACTTTTGTTGGGCGCGAAGACCGATCATTCTTGCGAATTGAGATATCCGTTTACTTTAGTCAGAGAAGGCAAGAACTTGTCATCCATATCGGCATCGGCGAAGATATTGAAGTCATACGCTACAGTGGTATGTCTAAATACTCTACAGGTACGTTCGAACTAATAATACGTAAGACCTCCCACGCGGTTTAGAGCCTCTCAACTCTGATGTCTGGAACATCAGAGAGTCCCGACCGTTTTCGGAAGATACTTCTTCGCAAGAGACTGTTCTTATGATTCAAGACTGGAAGACGAACTGTATGCAACACCATAAGAAGTGTACGCAGCTAGTAGCAGCCTCGGTACCCAAAAGAATCCTGGAGATCACGACTGAGCATATATTCCTTCGCGAGCACCCTGGATGTGTAGCTCCGTATGCTTGTCTCAGCCACTGTTGGGGGTCAAATGGCCCTGCCGTTAAGTTGACTGCTGAGACTGTCGGAAGTCTGCGTGGTGGTCTCAAGACATCGAGTCTACCCAAGACGTTTCGAGATGCAGTGGAGATGTGTTGTCATTTAGGAATTCATTACGTCTGGATCGATGCACTATGTGAGTCATTGTACGAGCAACCTTTACTTCAAGATACACAGCTGAACAACTGCAGGTATTCTCCAAGATAGCGAAGAAGACTGGGAAGAGGCCGCTGCCACGATGGGTGATATATACGAGAATTCACAAATTACCCTTGCAGCTACAGCTAGCCAAGATAGTAACGGCGGTCTCTTCTTTTCGGATCGTCCAGTCGCGAGACGTCTGGAAAAACATCCCCATCTGTTCGTCCGGAAATGCCTAAATCAGTTTCCAACAGGAATGTTGAATACTGCACCAACATCAATGCCGCTGTTAACTCGCGCCTGGGTGTATCAAGAACGAAGACTCTCACACCGCACAATACACTTTGGCAAACATCAGGTGTACTGGGAGTGCCAAACCGGTTTTGCGTCCGAGGATTCCAGAGAAGACAAAATATGGAACAAATACGCTACTGACTTCGAACTCCCGAATGATCTTGATTGGGGCGATAGTTGCGGGGACCATAAAACTTACTGGCACAAGACTGTGAGCGAGTATACCGACCTGCAAATGACCTACGAGAGTGATCGTCTGCCAGCTATTGCAGCTGTTGTTGATCGAATGTCGCGGCTACAAAGGGTAGACGACGTTTACGTTGCAGGATTATGGAAGGATACCATACTCTCAGACTTACTGTGGAGGTCAGACGGAAACAACCCGCGTCCTGCCAGGGTGGCTCCTTCTTGGTCTTGGGTATCAGCGCAAAACTCAATGATTTCCTGGGACGGCTATCAATTTACCAAAGAGGCCAAAGTCGTCGATCTGGAGTATACTGTCGTTGGTGCTGCTAACCTCGGAGAGGTCACCAACGCTAGCATCATTCTATTGGCTCCTGTGCTAAACTTGACAGGCTTTGATGAGCTTGGTTCCGTCGATGATGGATATGGCGTACACTGGGCAAATCGTTTTACAGGCATATTAAGGTCAGCTCCGATCACGGAACAGTTCCGACAGAACAATCTGGAAATCAATCATATCCGGTTCTCTCCCGACTACGATCTGACCACCGCCAATCCTCCATTCAGATGTGGGTGTACCATACAACTATTGGTCGCAAGAGATCCCTATGCCGTCATCGGCGGAATCGTCATTCAGCAAGTGTCCAAGAACCCCTCAGAGTACAGGAGAATAGGCTTTCTTCATCTCTACCTGGGAACGACGAAATCTGAAATGGATGGGAACAGAAATGACGAATTAGCAAGGAGAGATCACGATGACAAAGAAGACCTGGACGAAGACATGTCCCGTCTAATACTGTCACTGCCTATGGAAGAAGCAAAGATAATTTGAGGTCTCATCAACTAGTCGCCCATGAGCCCATCAGGAATCCACTTTTACCATACTTGTTCGAAATGAAAGAAAGTCTGCACATCTCTAATCTGGCGCATTGCTCGGCACCACAGCTGAACGGTTTCGTGAGTGAAGCTGCACAATGTTACGGGAAATGACACGAGCGACGAAGAGATGAAACCGTGTAATGGCAACAAACTCATTTCATGCTAGCTACCATATCCTCTCACTCTATGAATGTAACAACGCAGACAAAGATAAACGACTACTGCACATACTGGCCTCTACAGGCCCAGCTACAGAAACACAACCATCACAACGCCGCAGGTATCATCATGGCACCTAAATAGCCACGTTAATCCCACGAACACGGCGCAGATACCCCGCCTCCTCCGCAGTCCAATGCTTCTTCCCCGGCTGCACCCATTTTGCCTGGACACGAGCAGCCAGCTCCGCCTCCGTCTTCCTCGCCGCCTCCCACTTCGCCTTGTCCTTATCCGCCTTCTCCTTCTCATTCAGCTTCCGCTGCTGCGACCACATCTGATCGGCATCGGTCTTCTGTTTCGCGTTCGCCTCCCGCTTGGCCGTGCGCTCAACGTAGTCTTGATGCTTCTGCATCTTCTCCTTTGCTTCGGTGACAGCTAGACCAAACCGCTCGTTGTGCACAAGATAGGCCGCGTAGTCCTCTGGGTCGGGGATCTTGCCTTCGAGGTCGAGCTGCGCGAGCTTGGTTACGGTTTTGCGGAAGAGGTTCTCGCCGATCGGTGTCTGGACAGTGGAGAAGGCGTCGATGTCCGAGTACTCTGGTAGACGCTCCGCGCGGATGAGGGCCCAGTAACGGTTGAAAATGCGCTGGGTGTACGCCATCATACCGAGGAAGTCTGCGGCGCTGCATAGCTGAATGTCTTCCCATGTTCCCGGGGCTGGGTACGGGTGCAGTTCTTTCGCGTACTTCTTGAAGGTGGTGATCTCGTTGAAGTGCTTGATCAGGTCCTGGACCATACGGACGTCAAGTTCTGCTGGCAGCTTGATCACTGGATTGGGGCCAGCTACCATCTCCTTCTTGATGGAGATCGCGCGGAAGAGAGCGATGGGCATCTCGGCCACTAGCTTGCCCTCGCTGTCGACGATTTGCACTTTTGGTCCTGTAGCCAGGACCTTGCGGTCGGCATGGGAGAGCTCGTAGATCTTGGCCGCGTCGCCCATCTTGTTCTCGGTCGCTTGCATGGCTTTCTTGGGACCAGGAGCGGTCACGAAAGCAGAAGCAAGGAGGTTGGCCTTACCATTGGGAGATGGAGCGGCTGCTTTTGTATCCTTCTTGGTAGCTTGCTCCATCTGCTTGGTCAAGGGAGTCGGCGCCATCTCTGCTTTGTTATTTGTGGGAAGATGGGAGTACTTGGTGGGATGCGGACAGCTTGTTTCTTTTCTAGCAAAGCTTGGAATTTGCTAGTAGGTATACTGAGCTGGGTTCGACGCGAAGATTGTTGGGTGAGTTGAAAGTTGACTCCGGTGCTGTGATGGAGAACAGCTAGGAGGAAAAAGGGGGGTATTTTATATGCAGAGGGTGGGACTGAAGCCATAGTGAATTCAAGAGAGGCCATGGCGTTAGGCTGGCGAGGAGCTGAGGTTGTAGGCTTACTCCGTTCAGTGTGAATGAGTGAATGTGCCCGCACATGGTGATGCACTGCTTGGTTCGGACGTGGAAGGCGAACAACACCATCTTTAACCGCCTGTTGTTCTCTCACCAAGGAAACGAGACGGGTGTTCTCGCGGCGTAGAAAGTGAATGCTGTGGCGCAGACGATACTTATAGTGAATGAGTACATGTACCTGGGTAGATTTCGCATATATACGAGAAGCTGAGAGATGAGCTTCAGTCAAAGGCTGAGACGTGGTCTTAAGGCGAAGTTTAGCTTGACTTGCGATCACGCGATTTGATATTCTGTTGCACAGCAAGCATGTTTTTTTGCTACCGATGGTCTTTGTGATCAAATGTTCCGGATGTTTGTCAGGGTTGGCACAACGGCGCATTTGTCGACTGTTTACTGTGCCAAATCTTCCATCGACTGTATATTTTTCAACTCCGACTCTATGGCTTTCACTGCTTCTGATTTCCATTTGATGAGCGCGGTCGCCCTGTGGCAGTCGCGGTGTTGAGAAGATGAATGGTTGATGGGACGGAACGCTGGGCTTGCTGGGTTTGGCGTGGGGCTGAAGGTTGGCGAGGCCGGCTGGGCAGAACATCAGGCTGCGCTGTTGCGGCGGCGGCGTCGCCTGGTGGCCTCGCCAAACTGTGCCGCAAAAAGTGGTCACTTACCAACACCAAGGGCTCGGGTGATGCGATGTTCCATGTCGCATCGAAAGTGGGTATCGTGTTCTTGATCTGCGAGGATGATCGACGCGAATGCGAAAGTCCTAGTTTGGCGGTGCGCCGCTGTCGGGCTGTAAGGTCATCGCATTCCAAGGTTGTTCATCAAATCTCACTCGCAACGATGCACAATTCTTTGAAGAGTTGATTTCTTTGATTCAAGTTTCGTTTTTTATTAAGTTTAGAAGGCTAAAGAAGCTTGCTTCTGTTCCAGCATCCGATTCAACTGCTCCCAGATCAACCAGGAGAGTGCTTCTTCCAAGAACTTGCTTGAAGTGTAGGAGATGAACCTACAGTCTCCGTGCATCCAGTATCCCAAGTCGAAAAAAAGGTCAGCGATAGCGCAAAGGTGCATCAGGAAGTGTTTGCTCCGCAAGCAGAGGACCACCTCCCGAGAGGCAGAGACGCCACGGGCGTGCACATGTCTCGACCCCGCGCAGTCGCTTTCCCTAGTTTTCCCGGCCCAGTCCTCCTTCGCAACAGAGACGAGCTATCACAGCGGCATCGCAGATGCATGTATAACTTTTGTCGCCGCCTCTCGGCAGATCCAGCTGACACTCAATGCCAGGCCAAGTAAGCGTAATTCGTGAACGTGAATCGCGTCAGATCGTAAAGAGTCATGGCATGCCACAGGCTCAACGAAGAGATAGCGCATCCGTCCAGGAGTTGAAAACGACATTAACAAACAGGAAAAAAGCACAACAAAAATCCCAAAACCGAGTGTGCCTGACCTCGTGAGCCGTGAGGCTGTTGTTTAACCGTCTTCCGTTTGAAATGCCCGACATGCATGCCTCCCAGAGATGCTGTATTCAAGTAAATGAAAAGACCTGGTCCGGCCGTTGTGGTAGACAAAAAAGGAAATCGCTCGCTAAAAACAAAACGGATAACGTTGAGAGCAGGTATCAAAAAGAAAATGTACGGAGAAGGAGAGGGGAAATGACGCTCGCTAAAAGGAATCAATGATAAAACGCCGTCCCATGCCGGTTGGGTAGTGATGTTTGCACATCATGTCGTGAATATCGCATTCGTCTCGTGTCGGGCGTCGCAAGGTTGGTGCGCTGGGCAACCTGCGCGGTAAAGGGAAGAGCAAGGGGGACTGGCCAGGTCCACGCTTCCCAGCATCGACAGAGAACAGGTGCATACACCACAGTCGAGTTTGTCATTCAGCTTATGTGAATGCTGCGTACTGTGGTGCGAATCCTGTGTCCCATCCGAAACCGCCGAAACCTCCGTGAACGGCGCTTGACCCGCACTGCTGGGCTAGCACGCTCGGCAGAGGAAGGGCTGGTATCGGTGCCGACGCTGGGGGCGGGCTGTAGTACGAACTTGACGTGTATGGGCTGGTGCTTGGCGCGTATGGGCTGGTGCACGGTGCGTACGGGCTAGTCGAGTTGTATGGCTGGCTGTAGGAGGGTGTCGGTGACGGAAGCTGGATCGCTTCGAAGCCCATGTTGCCCATGGTGCTCCAGAATGTTGGTCCAGTTTCACCGCAGGTAGCGATGGTCGGGCTGGGCGTCGATGGGACCACTCTCCAAGTGTCGACTGGGGCTGAGTGCGACTGGTACTGCTGTGTTGGCACCCACCAGTTGGCAGAGCCAGGCGAGCTGGGGAGAAGCGGTGCTGGTCGGACAACGTCGACGATCCTGGGAGGAGGAGGAAGGAGCGGGAGGAACAGGCCCATGATGGCGCTCTTGACATCCTCACCTCGTCCCTCGAGTAGCTCTCCCGCACCATCCTCCTCGAGTCCTTCCAGAGCCTTGACACCAGTTCGGAAGACGTAGCGGTTGACAGCCTGAACAAATCCATCTTGGAGCTTCTTCAGCTGTTGCTCCTTCTCGGCCCATTCCCAGGTGCTGGCGGAAACATCGACGGAGTAGATGTCCTTGTGGTACTCGATAAGCGCTTCGATGGTCTCCGGTGTAAGCTTGAATGCGACCTCATGTTGTGAAACCATGTCGACGTGTACGACGTAGGCCTCGATGTGGATGAGCTGGTAGTTGAAGAGCGCTTCTACCAGCGGGTTGTTGTCCTTGCGCAGTTCCGAGTCCGGGGCCTTTGGCACCATGATTGAGCACAGCGACCACATCGCGTTGGGTCCGGAAAGTGTTTCTGTCAGACACCTCGTGTGTTGCTGGACGCTGTTCAACGGACGCTTGACGCGGTTGACCCTCTTGAGGGTTTGTGTTAACCATGGCTCGACCTTGGAGGCTAGTACGACGTTGACGTTTGATCTGGGCGCAAAGGCCGCAGCCGAGGCGGGTAGTAACGAGATCGGCATGTTGTGTGTGTGGTATGTGCGAGACGTTTGCGATATTAGGATGGGACGATTTATCAAAGATTCAAAGAAAAGAACAAAAGAGAGGTTGTAAGAAAATGTCTCTGGCGGGTATAATTTTTCGAGAGGCGCCTTGGATTGAGGAGGAGAGACAGGGAGGGGCGGGCGAATGAGGATGGGGGAAGGCGAGGTGGGAGGAGGGTGAAGAAGGCTAGTGGTGGTGGTGGGTGGGATCTCTTAAGAGCTTACAAGCGACGATCATGGGTCGGCGTGGCCACACTTGTCGGCAAGGATTTCATGCACACTGCCCCGTTTAGCTGCACTGCGCATCTAGCTTGTTTAAACGTGCATACGGCCAGAGTCCGCAGCTGCAGGTCTAGTCGGATCTAAGCTGACCGACGGACACGGCGAGCGCGTTGCGCACGCGTGGATAGGCGGATGCGTGTGGTGCGCGAAGATTGCGATGCTCTCATGGCTGCGAGTGTTGTGCGAACGACTACTCGGCCATGCACGCGCGGAGATGACTGCGAAAGAGGCGTCTGATCAGCCTCCCCAGTGGAAATAGCAAATGTAATCGACGACTATGACCGAATAGTGCTGTGCACCAGGGCAGCTGAAGACGGCCTCACGGTTGCAGGTGCATGCGAGGCCGCAGAAACCTGATCGGGAGGCCGCAGCAGCCACCAAACCTGCACATGGATACACGCCGTAGGCGAGCGTCGCAGCATCCTCGAGCCTGCAACTGCGCTTATAGTTGGGCGTCGAGCATCTGGTGTTGCGACATGACACGGATTCCAGAAGCCTTCTTTGGGCGTCCGGAAGCAGAGAGCACGGCAGCGGCTTTGCTACCCTTTTGGGGAGTGTGCGGTTAAAGGGAGGACGAGCCCTCTACGCTTGTCAAGGGGTTTCGCAGAGCAGGACTTTCACGGTGGGTGTAGTCGTGGTAGTCTTGGGCCATCTACAGGTTGACGTTGCTTGAGCCTAAAAATGGGCTCGAAACAGTCAGCCCAATCAGCGGGCCCAGCAGGGATGCGAGCAGGGTTCTCTACCGAAAAACCCGCGATCATGTGAGCCGCAGACGGCCCAGAAGTTTATCATGCCAGCGTCCATCGTCGAGTAGCTTCGGCGCCTGCTGAAGCACGATGCGAATATTCTACGACTCCTGCTTGCGCAATTGTGCTCTCATGACGATGATGCTGCTGCTGCGAGGAAGCAAGAGGATTGTCGCAGTGGCGTCGGCAGTTGCGCCACTCTCGCTTAGGCTGCACAGCCGCAGACACGTGCGCTCCGGCGGTGACGATGCCACCTCGAGGCAGATCAATTCGGCGCTGCCGATGTCACCTCTACAGTACCGATACAATCGGGCCTCATGACGATGTTACCCACAGTGACCTGGCAATAAACTGGCAATAACTCGCTCCGGCCGATACCACCTGTCTCTATGGGAAACGGTCGCTTCTGCGCAAAAGAAAGGCTGCATCGGAGAGGTCGTTTCCGTTTCAATCCGCATCGCCTGCCAGGCCTACAGCTGCGCGATTGGAGAAAAGTATCCTCAAGTGAAGCAAAGCGAGAGCATTACGCAATGCTCGGCAACCCCAGCGCCGTCCAGTCGTCCCATCTGTACGGACTTATCGATAGCATCCCACATTGCCATGTTTCAGACCTGCAAAGGCGACCCCGAGACCTGCAGCTGGGATTTGTCGCTGCGCCTCATAGCAAA